TTACAACAGGGAGAGGGGCTTCGAGCTCCGCGTTGTTTCCCTAGGGCCACTTGGCTGACCAGCGGTCCGCAAAGCGCGACGGGGAACCGGGAAGAGCCCGGGGATCAGCCCAGTATGATGAAGGATTTGCGTCCGGCAAAGGGTAGAACGTAGTTCGGGAACGCGGATTAGCTTAATTGATGCATTAGGCTTCTCTGCAAGAGGACGTGCCATTGCGGAACAAATCCCTGGCCACAATTAATCAGACACATAGCTCGGGTTGGCGTCGGGGCCACTGAGGGGCAAGGGTGTGGGCTGGAGGGGACTGCCCTCCCCTCTCGCCTCGGCGGAAAAACACGGGCTAGAGCCGAACGGTGCTCAGTCGTCGTGGGGCGGACTTGCTCGCTCGGGTCCGTTGTTCTGTTAGGAGCCGCAGAACAATCGAATTCGCGCACCATGGAGGACAATGCCGGAAAGGGAAGCAAGGAGGGAACCGCGAGGGACAGTTGGGGGAGAAAGCACGTCGTGTCTTTCCGCCGCTTCGCGGTGAAGGGAAGGAAGCGGTTCTGATTGGCTGATTGGGTTCTTTCCGGGTCGGAGCACGGAATCGCGCCTTGCTGGGTTTCTTTCTTCCCGCTTCCTAACCAAATTCCTGGACTTGTTCCTTTTTTTTTCTTTTTGAGGGCTTGTGTCGTTGGGCGTTGAGTCGCGAGCGATGCGTGCGACTGCGTTCTGTAGTTGCCGGCGTGGACGTTTCGGAGAGACAAGCTGGTTTGTTGTGTTATCGTGGCGCTCGTATATTTTGTGTTTTATTAGCGAGATTTAAAATTTTGTTCCTAAAAATTTTTGCGCACGCAAAGAAATAGCGTTGTCACCATGCGCCAATCAAGAACGCGGTTCAGGCTCGACGCATGCACAGCGGTGACGAAATTAGATACTAATAGCGTTGCTGGCTCTTACGTACGCAATAGTATAGCGCACGCTAAAAACTACCTGCTCAGACCGAGTTTAGTTGTGCGTTCCGTAAACGTTGCCGAGTGAACATCTGGCATGATCTGCTTCATTCGATTTGCCAGAGCAGCAGAATCCCGCTAAAGCACCTCAATAACTGAAAAGTGCCGCCATTCATTGTTGTGAAAATGCTCAAGACACGTGCCGCGCGCCACTTCTGAGAAGAACATGGCGTCTGAAATCTAGCTCAGTGCTGCGCTGTGCCGCCATCATCTTCCCAAAGGCTGCACGTTGCACGTGCCTCGTGCGTCGACGCACCTTGCGCTACTTTTAAAACACGAGGGGGCTTTAAATCCCGCGTGCTTACAGCGCCACCATGCTCCTCAAGAAAAAAAAATATTGAAAATGAAAACCTTTCCGATCATTTTATTTCAAATTAAGCAAGGCCGAAGCTGCCTGGTCAAGCGCTCTTTTCTGTGGGGTACGGAGGCTACAAGTACGAGTACGTAGCTAAATTCAATCACGGAGCCTCCGTCAATCGTCCCGTGAAAAACGATACTATCGCGGGAAGAAATACATGACTTACTGATGTCCAATGCACGACAACAACTTCGGCGTTTTTTTTTTTTTTCGTAGTCGTCCGTTTGTTAGCGATGAACTGCGCGATGAGGCTTAGCGCTGAGCAGGTCGCAGCGTTCACGCACATTGCGAACGCTGAACACTTTCATTGTGCACTCCTTCAGCCGCACAGCGATATGACTCGATTGCGGTATGTCTCGGAAACAAATTCAGAGCTGAGCGCCACGTAGTTTCACGTAACACTGAACTTCGCGAACACCACGTCCCGATGTTGTGCCAGTCGAGGTAACCGCCATCTTGAAGGTGATGCTCACGCTGAACCCGTTATCTCTCGAGAGTTTCCCGCAAAACCCGCCAGCCTGGAACGCAAAATCCCCACGTACGCAATACGCTAGCCCTTCTATTGCGTTCTGCGCATGCGCACTCCCGACCTTTTTTTTTTGTTTTTGCGAACGCAAAGTTTGTTGTTTGTGGTCCGCTAAAACTCGAGAGTTTTAGTAGATCGGACGCAAACGCGGTGCGAAGAAAGGGCTTGTCGGGAGTGCGCAAGCGCAGAACGCAGTAGAAGGGCTAGCGTATTGCGTGCGCACGCAACGCTAGGAATTTTGCGTTGGCGGTCTAGCGGGCTTTGCCGGAAGCTCTCGAGAGATCTCGGGCCGAGCAAGAGCACCTATTTCAAGATGGCGGTCACATCGACTGACGCAGCACGGGCGATGTGGTGTTCGCGAAGCTTAGTGTTACGTGAAACTGCTTGGTGCTCAGCTCGGCAATTCTTTTCGGGACCTACCGCGGTCGACTCAGATCGCCGTGCAGTTGAAGGAGTGCATAGCGGAGATGGCCACCGCTCTCAATGTGCGTGAACGTGGCCATCTGCTGAACGCTCAGCTTCTTCGCGTATAGTTCATCGCCGACGGACGAACGACTCTTCAAAAAATCGCTGAAGTTGTCGCCGTACACTGGACATCAGTAGGTCATCTATTTCTTCCCGCGATAGCACTGATGAAAGAAGCAGTTTCCACGGGGCGATTGACGGAGGCTGCGTGATCGAATTTGGCTACGCACTCGTCTCGTAGCATCCGTACCCCGCAGAAAAGCACGTTTGACCAGGCAGCTGTACTTTAGTTTTACTCGAAATAAGATGATTGGAAACGTGTTCACTTTCAATATTTATTTTGAGGAGCACGGTGGCACTGTATAAGTACGCGAAGTTTTACTCCTGTGACAAATTAAATCAAGGTCATGCGACCTGTTCACTCGGCAACGTTTTGCGGAACGCAGAACTAAACTCGATCTGAGCAGGCAGATTTAGCGTACGGTATACCATTGGGTATTGCGTATGCGAGAGCCTGAAACGCTGTCTTTACTATTTTCTTACGCGCGCTACACTGAGCCATTTAAGCAGCTCTAGTTTATTTATTTCTATTTGAGTTCACAGTTTGGTCTCTCCAAGAGAACGATGGCCTCCCCCTATTAAAAAAACAAATATTTGGGCGTCGTAATCAGACAAAGCAATGGCAGCGTCAAATAATTTTGAAAACGTTTTTTTTTTGTAAATCTTTTTTTTTTTTTTTTTTTTTTTTTTTTTTTTTTACACCAGCTCCGGTATCCGAACTCGCCTTTCCTCTAAGCAGGCTCTCGCGATCTGCTTCGCACACGTCACGGCTGTCGTAACTAGGGTAGTAAACAGGCGACCGCACTACTAAAACACCCATTAACACGAGGTTCACGACCGAATATGGGAGGTTATGGTACACTGGCAGGGTTTCGTAGACCGTCAAGCTTATGCGGATATTCTCGTTGCCCTCTTATCTGCACAGCACCAGAGCTTCTTTTAGTTACTGTCGCTAGCCAGGTACTCAAACGAAAAGTTTATAGTTCTAATGAATGACTTAGATTCATAATTTTAAGATGAAAAAAGAAAATAGCGCACCATTATGTCTTTAACATTCGCTTCTAGCTACGGCAGCGACCTGAGTTGGAATTGGATCTACAATGGCACTGGTGCCTGTATAACCTTCTCCAGTCTCCCTCACTTCTCGTGAGTGGACATTAAGACCATATTATATTATATTGTATTATATTATGTTATATTATATTAATCAATATACGTTTTCTCTGAGCTCAAACACGCCCAAAATATCTGCTATAAAAAGGTTCGTCAAAACCTGACATTTTTTTCTTTTTAACTGACGCCAACGAGTAAGTTAGTAAAGTGTGCAAAGCCATAGCTATTTCATCACCTGCCGTCTATCTGATCCTGATTCTAGTGTTTTGAATGCCGAAGTGACTAAGGCGAACAATGTAAACCGATTCCGCGGTTACGGCTTAACCATTCCGGCCCTATAGCATTCACGATTCTTGACAAGACGAAGCACTTCTTAAAAAAAAAAAAAAAACAGCCGTTATATTTTGTGCTAGAATTGCATTGGCCGATTGGTGCAACGGAGTCTGCAGAGATATCATCGTAGTTTTATATCTTGGACGCCATCGCGTGTGTGCCTGTCCACCCACGGCGATTCCTAACAATATATTCGTTGTAACTCATAAATCAATACTGTTACATCACTATTCTTTTACATTTATTTGAGTAACTCTAACTTAGATGATGTGCGGTTGTGCGGCAATTACTGAGGGAGGAATATAAGTTTCCGAAGTATGTCTAGTGCAAAAAGGGGTGCAGTTAATCATAAAATATTGCTGTCTTGTAAATGATGAAGGCACTATAAATAGAGACACATACTATAAATTGTCTTGCAGTTCGTGTTTCATGATACGACGCTTGTTTCCTTGAAAGGAATGATGATTTATAACATAGGTAGACACTGGTCGTTCTAGCTTGGCTGATAAATTAAGCTCGAAGACGTTTGTGTTGGTAGAACCTAATCAAAGCTAACAGGCCATTAGCGTTTGTGAGTTAGTTTTGTTCAAGCGTGTCTGGATTCTGTATAACCTATTCTATATTCACCTTCCCAGCGTTTATAACCCGGGTGAAAAATTCATCAGTCTGTTAACGCTTCCACGGCGTCAGATGTCGTCACGCAGAAGAGAACTACTGCGCATGTTCAAAACCGTGTTCCATAGCCTGATAAGCAAAAAAGCGGAGCAGAGCAGGCAATTATGCAGAGAAACTGAGGGAGATGAGGAGAGGAGAGCGTGCGGAGGGGGGCGGGGGAAGTTTGAGTGTCGAGCTCTGATTGGAAGGATTAGTGGGGAGACGCGAAGGCTAGATGCCTTTGTCTCTACATACTGCCTCCCTCCAATCGGAGCGAACAGGAGTATCGTCTGCTGCTCGCGCAGGGTCTGGCGTTTGAACGCCAGACCCTGTGCGAGCAGCAGACGACGCTTGCAAAGAGCTAGCGGGTAGAGACACTTTGCGTCTATACCCACTAGTCCTTCCAATCAAAACTCGGCATTTTGACGTCCCCACGCGTTCTCATCTCCTGCTCTCCGTCAGTTTCTCACAGTATATTGGAATGTTCAGCATGGCCCACCGGAGGAGATGCTGGAGGCGCCCATCTCTAGCAGCCTGGCGGCGTTGCTGCTGGTCCTACGGTGCAGCCGGCTGGCCGCCGGTGCCTCGGTTTCCGAATGGTTCAGCATCAGCATGGGCACGCACTCTTCGCCGTTGCCTGCACCGGGCAGCGGGAAAGGGAGAAACGGAGGGCACATGGGCGTCACACGGGATGGTCCTTTGTGTATACTATACGTAGAAGACAGCGGACAGACAACAAAAACAGGTGAAGGGTTAAGGTCGACTCATGGAGGTGGGCGATCCTGGCTTTTGTTATTAAAAACACTGAATAGATGGCGCTAGGGTTCAGCCTTCTGCGTTCGTTTATCCATCCATGCATCCCCTAAACCGCTGCTCTTTTTCATTATTAAACTGATGATCCCCGTATGCGCATTTTGAAGGATATGCTGTCGAGACCGGTCATAATGAAGTCAACGGGTATCGGAAATCACTTCGCTATATCCGCTATTTCGTTATAACCGACTTCGGTTAACGAAGTGCAAAAGGGAATGGGAAATCGTGAGCGCTTCGCTGTAGCCACTATTTCGTTTTAACCGACTTCGTTATGACCGGTCTCGACAGCAGTTTGCGTGCCGGCACAATAAAGTAAAAGAAATTTTAGAATTTTTGTGTTTGCGTGCGTTTGAACGAATGAAACTACTTTTTATAAGAAGAATCAGAAAGCGAGGGGTCTGTCTCCCAAATGTGGTTTAGACAAAAAAAAAAAAAAAAAAGGAAAAGGTAAACACAAGTTTAACGTGAAACAAGAGAGGCGATAGCAGATATTTAAAATGTATTGCTATCTCATCTAGTAATGATGACAGTGAGAATTTGTTTTAAGAAGCCCACAAAAATTATCTTTCATGGTGACCGCGAGATAGATTCGTAAATGGTGTATCTGTTTTAAAAATTTTGTCTCTTACATATTGAAAAAGTCGCCATGTAACTTCAAGGAATCCGACCAGCTCTGTTCGTGTCATACCATCATCACCAGGCCATTATCACCAGATCGCGTGCCTCCCACAGTATCAGCAATCGCCCCCCAATCGCATAGGAACGGATACCGCATAATTATTCGCGTCCGGTCAAACTCAGAGGTCGAATTGCCGGTGAACATATTTAGACATTTTGAATGTAGAATGCCAATGATGAGCTATACCTCTCCACTCACTAAGGCAGTAACTTTTCGAAGGAAGGTAAGCATCGTTAAGGCGTTAAGCGATATTGAGTTTAAAGGCCAGGCTTCTAAGCGAAGTCTACTGACATAAATATGGCACAAGTATATTCGCGTGCAACGAAACTGAGACTTTTAAGGTTGCACGCGAACTAGTTCTTCCGGTCTCTCCCTCGCAGCAACTTGCTGAAGCAACTTTGGGAAGGAGAGACTCCCTGCTGGTCGACTACTGGTACTGACTTCGTCAGCAAGCTTTGTGACTATGCTTGAATTCTGCTTATGGAGCACCCAATCTGAACTCAGTTATAAATCACTGCATTGGCAGAGAGTCGGTTTGTGGATCGTGCTCAGTCGCCGCGGTGACAAGGATAGCCGAACTTAACCGATCCTTTGACTCGCAGCATGTGCCCTGCGCACAGCCAACCGCATCGCCTGGCCGCAATGAACCACGGTGCCGGTATATAATTAACACCAGATCACGCGACCGCTTGTAACGGTTGGAAGTTGAGAGAGGTGAACGTTGCTCGTTTTTGTCATATATTTTTCTGCGACTGCAGTGCTCTGTTTTATGCGAGCGAAGCCAATGCTACAAGGCTTGTCTCGAACGACGCTTTCATTTCACAAGCGTTGTTGTGCTCAGAGGTTTATTCAAGATTACCAATCTAGGGGGAGGGGGGGAGGGGGATGTTAGACATATTTTTGCGAGGGGCTCCAGGGAGGAGAGTGTACCATTGGTTTCTGTACCTGGGGGTGTGTTATGGAGGTGTGCGTGCGTGTGGGGGAGGGGGGGGGAGGGGGGTTGCATAAATCATGGTTTGCGCTCGCTCTTGTACCTTTTACGCTTGAACTTATAGTAAATGAAAAAAAATATTGGAGTGTGTTTATGTTTTTTTTAGCCAAGAATTTAGTCTGCCTCAACGAGCGACTTGTCTCCCAGCTGATAAGCAATTTAGCCAGTATGGTACAATCGCTAGCCTGGGGTCTTTTACGTGCACAACACAGTAGTGGTACAAGACCGCACGCCGGTACGATGCTCACTCAGATCGAAGAGGGCAGGGATCTATGGTTTCTGCAGCGCGACCTTTCGCTTCACAAGCTCCGAGCTGGTGTGCGCTAGACCCCTTTGTCACCGATCCCCCGCACTTATCTTAAAGCAAAGTATAGTATGTGAAAAAAGACCAACAATCAGTACCGCCATTTGGAGGTACAAAGGCCAAGGAGTCATTCTAAACTGTATTTTGTGAAAGAAAAAAAAAAGAAAAAGAAAAGAAGATATTGTTCTATAGTCACTCGAAACAGAATTTCACTCAAAGTCCGCACAGAACGAGGAGACTTGAGCACGTACAAGACGTCTTTGTTCCGTCGCTGTTTACAGTTGCGCTCGTCGCTGGCTGTTCAGGCACCGATCGTGAACTCCCTCCCGAGTGCCGCGGAGCGCGAAGAAGAGGAGTGCGCCTCCCGAACGAGGTGCACTCGGGTCGCCGTCCGACGATCCGGAGTATGTGCCTCCAGCAGGCGAGAGCAAACTCGGCCAGAACAGCGCGCATCTGGGCGGCGTGCGGCTGGATAAACGTCTCGCATTGATCGCTCCTTTCGACTACTCCCCGAGTTGGCGCAGGCGGCGCTATCGCGCACGCGTGGACGGTGAGGGGAGTCGGCAGGAACGGGGCGCGAGGAATCGATGCGTTTCCAACTCAGCTGCCTCATTGTTCAGCCAGCAACGTCCCCGCTCGACCTGGGCTGCGCTCACTGGGCTTGAACCTGCGCTCGACAAACCAACTCGTCTGTGTGTTTGAGTTGTTTTAGAGCGTAGCTCTTAGGCGCCCGTTTCCGGCTCGAGCGGCGTCGCCTTCGGCGTAACCGCGAGCGTTGCATTATGGGAAACGTCCCATAATGCAACGCGCGGGTTTCACTTGTGACCCGCGCGTTGCGTTATGGGACGTTTCCAATAAGGGCGTCACGAGGGTCACGAGGGTCCCGCGCGTTGCATTAAGGGAAACATTCCATGATGCAACGCGCGGAAGAGGAGGAGAGGGGGAGGAGGGGAGGGCAGGAGAAGGAGAGGAGGAGGGGCATACCCTCCTCTCCGCACCCTCCCCTCCTCAAGAGCTGCGCTCTAATTCGGCATTACATCGAATTGTAAACGTCTTTCTTTTCTTTTCACTTGGATCGAGCTGTAAGCCACAGTTGCTCACATCTCGGTGTTCGCCGGAGACACGATGACACGCCTCAAGCGTGTTGGGAGCACGATGGCTTCGTGTACATATGTATGCTTGGTACAGGCACGTAGCCAGAGGAAGGAGGGGGGGGGGGGTATGGGAGCCCGGCACCCCCCCCCCCCCCCCCCCCCCCGAAATCTTCAATTTTTCTGGGACCCCCCTCTCCACCCTCCCCCTCATACAGCATTTTGTCATGGGCGCCGCCCCCCCCCCCCCCCCCCGACATGGAAGAAACATGCCACAGACGGTGTCTGTAGACTGCCTTTCGTACGATGTATCGGTAGTGTGACTGCGGCTCTATAGGATGAATTTCCGCACATGGCGGTTAGATCCAGGGACCACCCGTAGTCTGCTTTACACATGGAGGTATAGAAAGCTTCTGAAGGCGACATGACGCCACCTGAGGCGAAGCCAGAAATCGGGAGTGGAGTGCAGCCGACGCTATATATGGTCCGCTGCAATCTTCGAGTGAGCACGACGCCATTCCCCGCGACGGAGCCAACGCCCAGAGATGCGGTCTCGGAGAGCTCAGCGGCGCGCGCAGGTTTTCCGGTGTTGGGTATTTTAGCTACGGCCCCGGCGATTTCCTCCATGCTGCCGTTGGTTTAATGTTGCAGGATTGCTTTGTCTGCGGTGTTCGCAACGAGCGTCTACAGCAGCGCCTCTTCACGGAGCCGGAGCTGACGTTCCAGAGTGCGTACGACATAACGGTCCGCACAGAGAGCGCCGCATTCCAGCAGCAGGATCTCAGCACAACAAAGACCGAAGTAAACAAGATTTCAAAAGGGAACGTAAAGAAGAAGACACCCGCACCGAAAGACGAGTCAACAGCTCAGCGTTGCTTCCGCTGCCTCGGAGCACATTGTGCTGCTAGCTGCCAATTTATGAGCGTGCTTTGTCCGTTTTACAACAAGCCGGGACACATTGAAAAGGAAAGTTTGAAAAAGGCACAAAGCACAAAAGGGCCGCGCGGGACGCACAACCTGAGCCATGATACACCAGACTCTGAATCAGAGGACGAACCGGCACTGAATATGCAGGAGCTGGACTTTGTGCCAGCTGCAACAAAGACGCCACCCATATTTTGGTGACATCGCGAATCGACGCTGCTGATTATAATGTAAATAATGCAGTGGTGCAAGCGAGCTGGACAAGAATGATAATAGTAATCCTTTTCGGTCGCGCACCAGTCACCTAGCTCTGTTTGGAGATCTGTGTTTGTGTTGTCCCCTTTGTCTCCAGGGATTATTATTGACACCGACTTCTGAAATTTGAAGTCGGGAGCGGCTTGCACCACCATCAGCGCAGCGACATTCCGTCGGCTCTGGCCATCAAAACCTCCAAAGCTGATCAAAAAAGCAGTCGGTCTTCGCACCTCGCCTAGAGAAGGGTTGAGAGTGCTAGGGTCACTGCAAGTGCTTGTTTTGAGGCACAAGTTCAAAGACTTCGTTCTTCCGTTGCTGATTACAGAAGGCAATAGCTGCAGCCTGCTGGGACACCAATTGGTTTTCCGAACTCAAAATTACAGTCAGCGTAATTCATTAGTTATTTGGAAACACCGATGTGCAGAATATTCTGGCAGCCCATGGCGAGGCCTTCGACCACAAAATCGTTGGGGATGGAAGGCCGCCAATTAATAAGGAGCTCAAGGAGAAGGCAGCACCAAGCTTTTTTCGCGCTTGCCAGGTGCCGTTCGCGCTTCGCTCGGTCGTGGAGGCTGAACTC